CTGATCCACCAAGTCATAAAGTTATATGTCCACAGAGACAGTCCATCATTAAATGAAAGAGATAGATATGTGATCGAGCCAGAGCAGGTCCAGAGGGTGCAAGTTACATGAAGAAGTTTCCCACCTGCCTACGGTCCTACCCCTGTTACATTTATTGTCTTCTGTCTCCCAGCATGTACCTGTGGATTCATGGGGTGTATCATATGATCAGTTGGCAGAGGAAGAGAAGGTGAGGGCCTGGTTTACAGATGGTTCTGCATGTTATACAGGCACCACCTGCAAGTGGACAGCTGCCAACATTACAACTTTGTGGGCCAGGGATTTAGCTCGGTGGCACCCCACCTGCCTGGCAAGCACAAGGTCCTGAGTTTGATTGCCAGTACTGGGGGGAAAAACCACAGCTTCTGTCTAGGACACTTCTGAAGGACAGGGAGGGGAATCCTCCATAGTGGGCAGAACTTTGGGAAATGTGCCTGGTAGTACATTTTGTCTGGAAGAAAAAAAAATGACCAGATGTACGACTATTTACTGATTCATGGGTTACTGCCAAAGATCTGGATGGATAGTCAGGAACTTGGAGAGAACATGACTGGAAAATTGGAGACAAAAGTATTTAGGGATGAGGTATAGACCTCTCCATATGGGCAAAAGATGTAAAGATATTTGTATCTCATATAAACACTCACCAAAAAGTGACCTCAGCAGAAGACTTTAATAATCAAGTGGATAGGATGACCCATTCTGTAGATAGCGGTCAACTCTTTAGCCTCTTTAGCCACCCCCTTTTGCCCAGCGAGTTCATGAACAGAGCGACTGTGGAGGCAGGGAAAGAGGTTATGCATGGATTTAGCAACATGGACTCCCATTCACCAAGTCTGATCTGAGTACAGCCACTGCTGAATGTCCTATGTGCCAGCAGTAGACACCAACATTGAGACCCCAGTATGGCACCATTCCCTGAGAGGACAAGACTGTAATCTGATGGAAGGCTGATTATAAGGGACCACGTCCAACATGGAAGGGTAGTATTTTCTCCTTACTGGCACAGACATTTAATCTGGGTATAGATTTGCCTTCCCTGCCTGTACTGTTTATATCAAAACTACCATCCATGAACCTACAGAATGACTTATCCACCATTATGGTATTTCATACAGCACTGCCGCTGACAAAGAAACACATTTTACATCCAAAGAAGTAAGGTAATGAGCTAATGCTCATGGAATTTACTAGTTTTACCATGTTCTTTGCCAAGTAGAAACAGATGGATTAACAGAGGTTGAATGAGCTTTTGAAGAATCAGTTACAGAACCAGCTAGGTCATAACAGCTTACTGTGCTGGGGCAAGGGTCTTCTAAAGGCTGTACATGCTTTGAATCAGTGTCCACTATGTGGTATCATGTCTACCATAGCCAAGATTCACAGATCCATGTGGAAGTGGGAATGGTATTACTCATCATTATCCCTAGAGATCTATTACCAGAAGTTTTGATTCCTATTCCCACGACCTTATGCTCTATTGGCCTAGAAGTTTTAGTACAACAGTGGGGACAGCTTGTATCAGAAAGCATGATTCCACTGAACTGGAAGCTAAGCCATCCCCTGGTCATTTTTAGGCTCCCTGAGCCTCTTAAACAAGCTAAAAAGGGAGCTGTAGTGTTGGCAGGGGTGACTGATCCAGACAGACCATCAAGAAAAAAACTGGACTATTACTCCACAATGGAGAAAAGAAAGAATACACTTGGAATGCAGGAGATCCCTCAGGATGCCTCTTATTATTACCATGCCGTTAAGGTTAACAGGAAACTACAACAACCCATTCAGGCAGGACAACACAAGGCCCAGAATCTTCAAGAATAAAGGTAAGAGTCAGCCCACTCATACCAAGATGTGCTGAAGTGCTTGTTGAAGGCCAAGAGAATACAGAATTAGTAGAAAAAAGGTAGTTATAAATACCAGCTATGATGCTGTGATCAGCTACAGAAACAAGGATTGTAATTGTTGTCTAATATTCCTATGTAAGATAATGCTGACAAACTTAACACGGTTCATAATTATTGTTAAACCTATATATATTATAATGTTCAAGTTATGAAATGTTAGGAATAAACATCAAAAGAAAAACTTTCCTTGGTGTATTTCCAGGTGTACACAGGACAGGTGTACCATGTTAGGCATAATTATGAACTTGTCTTTGTATGTGGAGATTAAGTATGGTTTTAAAGAAATGTGTCTGGTTGTCAAGCTGACAAAGGGTGCATTGTGATGGTAAACTGCTGTGCTGTCTTGAGTAAGAAACACCCAAATGACTGGCATAGTTCTAAGTGTGACTATCACCAATCAATAGGGTTGTACACTGAATGGAATAAAAAGGTAAAGGAGGAAGGCTTGTTTCTGTTTCTTTGAAGGAGCTCCTGTCTGCCTTCACCTTGGACATCTCCTGGCTTGCAGTGTAGACCTTTCAGCCTTGCAGTACAGACTCTGGCTTCCTGATACAAACTCATATGGGACTCTACAGTTAGCTCCAGGCCTTTGACTTTTGACTGGAATCTTTGTATCTCCAGTGTACAGCCTTTCTGCATTTTCCACACCTGACCCTGAAGGTGGCAAATGAAAGCTTACCTTGTAAATCCATGTATCTATATCTATCTAGCATTAAATGTGTTACTCAAGTAAGCACTGACTGATACAGCAGGGGAAGGGGATTTTAAAAGAGAATTAAGATATGCTATGTACATGTACCAACTCCCCACAATGAATATTATCATTACCTACTGCAAATATGTACAAAAAGTGAAAAAAAATCAGATACTTAAATTTAAACACTGCATAATTTCTCTTAAGTTAGAAACCCAAAGCATAAATTATTTTAAAAGCAAAATAAAAGATAATAGGAAACATGGTCATAGATCTTTTGCAAACAGGACAAGATCTAGGGACAGAGTAGGGAGAAATGGAGGAGAAAGGGAAGTAAAAGAATTAAGATATGGTACATATCGTACCATTCTCCATGATGAATGTAATCATTATGTACTGTAATATGTACTAAAAAAAGTGTATTTCTAGTAGAGACCCCCTCATTTATTTATCTTAAATGACAGTACAAACAGGAAAAGTAGGGTAAATGCTAAATTCTTTATCACATTTTAAAATAATGAGCTAATACCCTAAATACCCTCCAAAAAGATCACCATTATTTTATCATTATAAATGTATAGATTTAGACATTTTTGATGTGTTTATATTTATTATCCCTTCACCTATACCCAACAGTTTTCATGTAGGTTCTTGAGTCCTCTTAACTGCCAAGTCATCTTTTGATTACTTTTTTCTTTCTGGTATGACAAGATGATCAATGCTCACTTATGCATATGTAAAGTTACTTATGTATACATTTCTTTCCCTGGATCTGGAATCATCCATTTCTCCAAAAAGCCTTTTGAGTAGAACATGGTATAGAAACATAATTTATGTCTTTTCAACAGATTGGGAGAAGCTTTTTGGTTTTGTTTTTTTAAGACAAAGTTTCACTATGTAGCTCAGGCTGGCCCTGGAGTCACTGTGTATAGGCATGTGCCACCATGTAAGGTGGAGTTTTCTTAAAGAAAAAATACATTAAGGGTTCATTCTCACATTTCTAATTCCAATTAAAATCTTTAAGGTTTTTATTAAGTCTTTATGTTGCATATCTAGTCTTTATGATGAAAATCCTAATACCATTAACTTATTTCCTTTACCATAAAATACTTCCAGAATAACACTACAAATATTAACACTATGATTATCTAAAACTTAAAGATTTTTTTTTTTTGGCAATTCTTTTTGTCTTTAGAATCAAATTAGGATGTGTAAAGTCATTTGGAATAATTTTTCTCTGTACAGATATAATGCTAACTCAAAACAAAGATATATTTGTTTCAATTTTGCCTTTCTATATTTGTCTTATTAAAAAATAGGGGGGATGGATGGATATGAGCAAAATAAATCGTACACACTGAAAAGGGAAACTTGGGGTCAGAGGAAAGAAGCAGGGCCTTGAGGTGCTGAAGAGTGAAGATGATCAAAGTATGCTGTGTTAAATAAAAAAGCCTTTTGAAAGGAGGGAAAAATCAAGACAACTGTATAGAAAAATACTTGTTTTGTTGGTAGATGTGTCCAAAAGAGAAAAAAATAAGATCTGTCTAAATAAGTGCAACCTTTACTCTTGTTTCCTTTTATTCCCATGCTACTTCTCAGTTTTAGTTGCTTTCATATGGGATTACTGAATATTCTACACCCAAAGGAACTACCTCCCTTTAAAGATGAGCACCTGCTGACAGCTTGATTTTTTATTTCTCTTGAGTATTCTTTTGCTAATACCAGGATAGTCTTGATGGAGCTGCTAATTTATCTCCCACTTGCACTTTGGAGTTAAGCGATATTGTATAATAAAGAATTTGACTAGCTCTTGTCACTGGCTCCTATAAACCCCTTAACACTGAGTGATAACGGTCTAAGTTATTTATGAGTGCCTTGGATCACATCTGAGTTTACACTAAGAAGATGACTCAGGAAAGATCATGGTGGACAATAATAGAAAAAGCAACCCTGTGGTTGGATTTGGAGATTCAAATCGTCACTATCACACTGCTGCCAAATCTTCTTTAGGTTTTAATTTAATGCATCATATTTCTTCCACTTCATATACTATTTCAGTATTTATTGTTTCATAGTAGGATAGTAACATAAGATTAAACTGCCAAGGTTACACAGCCACTCTTTCAATTTTAAAGTTTATTTGAGCACATGTCTCAGTCATTGAGCAGCGCCAAACCCTAGGAGTCTGACTCCAATACAGCCACTGACAGTGACTGTTTCAATTATTATTTGTTCATTAGCAGAATTCATTAAATTTATAAATGAAATAACACAACAACCATATATTGTCATAACACATGGTATGTTTCCAAACTGGCTAGAGGCTGGAATTCCAAAATAAAAATAAAGTATGAAAATCTTACCTCTGTCAGACGCAATTGTGAAGATGCGGCTACATAATCAGATTCTAATTTGTTCTTCTCAGAGATCACTGTAGTATTTTGAAGAATTAAATCTACTTTTTGCATATGCAAAGAAGTACAAATCTAGGAATAAAAACCCCAACAGTTTAGTTTTTGTTTTAGAACAAAACATAGTTTATTTTTTAAAAAACAAATCTATAAGTTATGAAAAAAATAAATTTGTACTGTGACTGGTATCTCTCAAATAGGTCTTATAAGAAAAAACTTTTAAAAGCATTTTTCTGTGTATTTATGAGGGATATCCACAGTAAAACAGTTTATGAGTTCTTTCAACCTATTTCTTACCTATAGAGAAAATGTCAACCATGCCAACTGCGACTGACAAGAAAAAGCTCTTGCTTATACAACTAAAACAGTAAAAAGGCTTAATCAAGATACTCCCTCCAATAAAGTCCTCTAAAGATATTATTTTCTTCTCTTAACAGCTATTTAAGAAATAGCTAAAATTAAGAAATACCTTACCTTTACTAGCCTTGTTAATTCAGTAACAAGTTTTGCTTTTTGAACATTTATTTCTTTAATTTTGGTATTTGCTTTTCGCTCTTCTTCTTCAAGGTTGCAAGTATCTTGTTCCATCAGCTTTAAACTGTATGACACATACAATGATGTAGAAATCAGTTAAACACAAGGACTAAACAAAAGCCTTAGGTTCACTGCAGTTTTGGGGGCTATATTTAGCAATGCTGTTGCACTTGTTGTATTAAACAATCATTTATGCAGTCAAAAAGGTTTTTTGGGTTTTTGTTTTTGAGATATATTATGTGACCAGCAGTCTGGTAATGGAATAGGCTCTGGAGTCAGAAAAGTGGCTCTGAATTTACCACTCATTAATAAGCACTAGAAGTCTGGACAAGTCATTCTTTTGAGCTTCACTTTCATCTATAAGTTACAAATAATAATGGTGATTTTTTTCTAAGAATTGTAGAGAAGATTTAAAAAGGTAATACATGTAACACATTATAGAACTAGGCCCATAACTGATTGTTGATATTTTTTATAAATAAACTAAGGCTTAGCAAAGTAAAGTGTATTTATGATCTAAAATCAGAAATATCATGCGTTAAAATACATTTATATTTCATATTTTCTACTACAAAGGAAAAAAAAGAATAAATGAGAATGAACAAGAACAACGGCTGTCGTAAAGTGTCCCAAATGATACAAAGAGTACATTGAGGAGGGAAACACAATTTTAAATAATTGTTAAAGCTAATCTAAAGAAGAATAATGTTTAATTAAACTTCATGTAGTAATAATAGGAAGCATAATTCCTAAATGGAGTAGGAACATGCAAAGAAGAAAAATATTTATAGCAGCATTCTGGATGAAGTGAATGGAGAGGGAACTAATCAGGAAGAAACCATTAGCCAAGTCACCACTGTACACCAAAGTGAATAAAGGCAGAAATGAGACAGTGAGATGGCAATGGATATTAAGTCATTTCACTGAAAAAAATTAAAAACACTATTTTATGAAGACAAAGTTTACTTTTAGACAATGGGTCAAATATAGCAGTGACACAAAAAAGGTTAGGAGTTTAAACCTGAAAAAAATTCTATGGAATCTAAATTAGACATATCTTGCATTAAGCTATTAAGGTGTGTCT